TGTGGAACATCGTTCACACCGCAAGTAAGCCTACCGTGCTGATCGGAGTGCAAAGGCTGAGCTTGGACGTAGGCAGTGTAGGCACCCCCAGAGCGGTTACAATATTCCCGTGGCGAGCGGGAATCGAACTCGCGTGTGGCCGCTCCCAGGACTGACACTCACCCTCACCACACTCACTCACACTCACCACACACACACACTCACACTCCCTGCAGCGTCTCCTCTGCGGAAACATCGCAGAGTAGGGCATCGGCACCGTCAATGGAAAGTACCGCGTACACGTGTTCTGAGAAGTGCCCGTATTCTCTACCGTCGCATACCAGCTATATATATGCTGTGTAGAGTGTACAAATAATTAATTATCAGTGACTTCCACCAATGCTGATATGCGTGTACATATATATACATATGCGTTCATATATGTACATATACATTACCACTATCATTCGACTCCCTAGTTTTACTGTAGCTTTATTTTGCAAAGTAACGAGAATATGTACGTGAAACGGTCAAATACAATTTGGTTACGATACAGTATATGGTCCCTGCATTATCCGGATTATAAGGCGCATGTCTCTTATGTATTTATGGTCGTGCGTTGTTATAATGGGGTGAGAGTGTGTGTGTGTTTGTGGTGAGATTTGTCTCAGTTTATTGACACTGGGCATAACGTTTTGGGGTGCGTCTTATTTTCCGGGGCGTCTTATAATTCGGAGAATGTGCTAAACGTGCATGTAGGCGTTGCTACGTATATGATGAATAAGGGAATTACAAATTACATCTTAAGAACAAAGTGAATGCACATGACGGCTTGCCATAAACCAACGAGCAACACGGTACGTGATTAAATGTAGACCTACAGTACAGGCACACGTGTATGTGTGCATGTGTGTTGTACAGATATAATGGGAGGCTGATCGATGCCCGGGTGCGGTCAAGGGATGGTTCCCTATTGCTCAACCACGTTATGTCTGCCGATGATTTGGTAATAGCTGCTCATTCAGAGGAGGAGTTGGAGACGCTGCTGCTGAGACTGGAGCGTGCCACTAAGAGATGGGGCCTTACCATCAGCCCCACCAAAACTAAGCACCTGCCTGGTTATTTTGTACCATCGGACACTCCACCCCCACAACTCCCAATCGGTGATGGGGTAGTTGTGGAGAGAATGGAGAGTTTCCCATACCTGGGCAGTGTGCTTTTGACCGGCTCCAGTTTAACAGCAGAGGTCCCACTCCGAATCAGTCGAGCGGCAATATCTTTTCATCGGTTCGTAACGCTGTGTGGAAGCTACCTGGTCTGTCGTTCCGCACTAAGCTTCAGGTCTTCTCGGCCACGGTCATTCCCTCCCTTCTCTACGCTTGCGAAACGTGGACCCCCTTAATGGAACATCTTTGCCGGTTAGAAACGTTTAGGCTAACCTGCCTACCATCCATCCTGGGTTTAACTAGGCTAGATTGTGTGAGGAGTTCACAAATCCTTGAAAGATCTGGGCAAGGTCCCATCGGTGAGCTCCTCCGGCAGGCAAGGCTGCGTTGGCTGGGTCATGTAGCCCGCATGCCCAGCCACCGCATGCCGAAACAGCTTTTGTTTGGCCGGATCGAGGGGGCTTAACGGGCGCGTCACGGGCTAGAGAAGAGATGGAGTGATGTAGTACAGGAGGACGTGGAGCTGAGTGGACTTGTCGATGACTGGTACCAGCGGTGTCAAGATCGGCCTCTGTGGAGGAGGCTCTTGAAGGACGCTACTGGGCAGTTGGAGGCAGTCGCCCTCCAACAACAACGGAGGGCGGAGGAGGGACGCTCACAACAACGAGCGGAGCGCCGGGTGGCTAAAGCACAGCAGGTTGGCACAGTACGGGGCACAGGTGGTGCATCAGCCAGTCATCTCAGTCAGTCGACCCGTGGCACCTGGGTCTGCCCCGTGACCTCCTGCCAGCGGGCGTTCGACACGTTACGTGGCCTCAAGGTGCACATGGCCTGGCACAAGCGTCGTGGTGACGTCACCGCCACTTAGTGGCGAATGGCGGTTGTTGTTGTTGTTATATGTGTTGTAGTAGGGGGGCGGTGGTGCAGTGGTTAGCGCGCACTGCGCAACGAACCCGACCATCCGAGTGGGATTCCCGTTCTCGACCAACATCAGTGATAAATATGAACCGATCATGGGCTTCTCCAAGATCACGTGCTTCTCCAAGATCACGTGCTTCTCCTAGATCATGGGCTTCTTCAAGATTATGGGCATCTCCGAGATCGACCCCAGCCTTAAATGTACACCTGGTGCGGTGTGTAAAGATCAGCAATGGGGAGACAAAGGCGGCCGAGCGTGGTGCTAACCACACCAACCCCTCCTGCTAACAGTCCCAACAGTACAGCTGGCTCGACTGGGGTCTGTATCATGTGAATGAATGTGCATGTCTGTTGAGAGTTTATTTACTAGGAAGGTAATTGTTATCAGTCATGAAGTCATTCAAGTGATATATTTAACTCAAAACGTCTGTATAAAATATACACGTAAATAACTATTTTAAAATATATTAAATTTGGCATTGGTATATAAATGCATTTCTAAACGTAGCATAATGTACAAACGATATATGCATTGCGTGTGATATTGCACCACGCATGTAGGGTCAAGATACATAGGGAAACTATCTTGCACGGTTATGTATGTACAATCAATCCATTGATCTCCGTTCACTACCAATTATATAAGAATTAGACATATGGTTTAGTGCTCACTGTGTTATATTTGATCAAATAACTTTTCATATATATAGAATTATAAACGTCAAAGTAACGCGTTCGTGTATTCAGTTATGTAGTGTAAATATCACAATCAGAATCTCAAATGCAGGCATAGGGCCAAATTCAGCCCATTATCCCGTGCGCGGTCGACAAATCACGTAACCACATGTCACGTGTCGTTAAAAGCGGTCGCCCTGGAGGACGGCCTGGCCTCCCGTCACGGCAATGTGGAATTTCCACCGTTGGCCGTGGTTCTCCAGCGGGGGGCTCAGCAACGGCGACACGTGTTGCGATATACGCTGGGTAGCACGTGGACTCGTCACTGAAGATCGCGAAACACAGATTACTCGGTACAAATAACGGACGAGTAGCACACTCGCATTCCACGGTGATATAACTCACGATTCATACGATTATCTAAGTGCAGCGTTGCACTAGAAGCCGTTGAGTTGTGTATCCAAGTTGCGAGCAATTATTGCCCGCGACTGTTATCAATGTTAAATATTTATATTATATATTTTTAAAATAAATATTATTTATGATCCAACATGTCGCGTTTTAGATGTTAAACTGCTAGGCTAATGTATATATTCATAGTGTAGGTAATATTACGTCTCTTATACAATATCCGTTTATAACGCCACTTGCTGTTTGTATACCGTCCTCGTGAGTTCTTAGTTGTGTTTGTTTACGTTGCGTGATTACTTGTAATGTGTTAACAACAACAACAACACGTGGTATATGTTCAGCGCAAAGAGAAGACTCACCGCCTCCGCAACAACAACAACTCTCTTCAAAAGGTGACGTTTCGGTCCACGTCCCTTCTTCATAGCAGAGAGAGGACAGACAGATTGACTCATACAGCGTTTGGAGAGCGACACTTTGGTCTTTAAAATGCTGGGAGATCACAACTTGACATATGAACATTACTGAATTAACATACGATTGACATACGACCATTTTCCATGTGGCCACTGTTTTTCGTGATTAATATGCATCAAATCTACACCGTAGACCTGCACGTATCAATTGCCTACATGCAATTAATAAATATAACTGAGAGTCGTAGCAGCGGTATATGAATGGAGATTGCCGAATGAGCATCACGATTTGTCCGCTATAAATTGTAAATGCTCAGTGTTAGTGAGTAACAGGGTGCTATTTTTGGATGTAATGGACCCCCCCCCCCCCGCTCCGCCTTCATTGCTACGTGTCATGTAACGCACGGAGCTATAATTTAATTGAAATTCTGATCGGCGACTGTTGGTGAAGCTCAGCTGACTGGCTGCTTGTCTGTGGCGCAAGTTGAAGCCAGAGGGTGGTGTGTTCCGGAGAGACTGCTCAGCCTCCTTCAGATACTCGTTGACTTCATACAAGAAAAGAGTAATTGTTTGGTGTTGTGTGTGCGTGTGTGTTGTCATACGTGTGAATCGGTGATCACTAACATGGATGTATGTATGTTGAACTTCTTTCGCACCGTACGTAGCCAGCCGTGCTAAACATGCAAAACACAACTCGTCCTTGCAGTCTGTGTGGCTCAAGCGGAGCATCATTTCTGGTGTGCGTTGGAATGCGTTCGCCCACCGCGCTGTGCACATCACCGCTGTCAAGTGGTGATCTGTCCACGCAAGCTTTACACGACGCGGTGTGTAAAGATTCACAACATCAGTGGGGAGAGAATAGTCGGTCGGACGTGACTCGTGCTCGACACGCGGGCCCCTCCATGCGCATTCACGAATCGAAGCGGGTGCTCGCGAACAGAACTTTGGATGGTTACAGCTGCGCGAGCACTCCAGATAAACGTTGGTAATGATGTAGACGAGGCTGATTGATGAGCGTGGGGTGCAGCCTGCATTCGAGACGTGCGTGTAAGAGCTTGCGAACACGTGTGGCCGTTGAGTCAGAGCTATGCTACGCACGTACGCACGTGCTTGTAAGTACTCGCTAACATCACTTTCCAGGGTTATAACGCTACGGGGGAATCTGTGTGCGAGTGTGTCAGTCGATCTCTCTGTGAGTGCTGCTATGGAGGAGATATCCGCATGGCTGGAAGGCGGCGGTTGATGTAAGCGGGGAGATCTGCAATCTCAAACGCAGAGAGATGCGTGTGGAGGCTTGCGAAAAGGTGGGGCGTGCATCTGCGTGCATGCGTGTGCAGTGGCGGCGGCGATGATGTTCAGGAGGTGGGGTTGGGTGAAGGAGTTTGGTGGGGTGTTTGGGGGTGGGTGGCGGTGGGGGTGCTGGTGCTAAGTCGGTAGCCCCAAAGATGCATTGCGCAGCTCGCTGATGTTTCGTGCGCTGGGCAGACAGAGCTCAGAACACACAGCAGCAGCAGCAGGAGGAGGAGGAAGAAGCCCCCGTGACGCGCGGCGTGGGGCCACCGCGCGCTCAGCACCGCGGCGTGTAACAGACGAGAGGGCGGGCAGCTCTCTCCGGGCACCGCGCGCGCTGCGTGCGACTCACGGCGCTCGCTCTGCCCGTGCGTGGGACTCACGGCGCGTGCTCTTCGACGCGCGCGTTGGCGGAGACAGCGCTCAGAGAGAGAGAGAGGAGGAGGAGGAGGAGGGACACGGCGGACGACGCGCGACAGGTGAGCTGGCCGCGTGCGCGTTGTCACATTGCCGAGATGCATCGTCGCCTTCACTGCGGGGCTGTGCACAGGTGCGACACGTGCACGAGCAGAGGCGTGTGCGTGGCGACCGCGCGTCTTGTGAAGCGTCACGTGTCAGTGTGCCTTGACAGTGGCTGCGCGTTCGTTTGTGTTTGACGGCCACTGGGAACATGATTTGTAAATTCCACGTGCCCATGACGCGCGGCCAGTCTTAAATAGGAAGGCGACTATTTGGTTGTTAATTTCCATCAATCAGCGGTTGTAGTCCTTTCGTCGCTGTTAATATACCAACGATGTTATCATTCAGGAATTAAGAACGTATCGGCGACATTGAAGGGTATGTATATGCATGCGTGTGTAGTAAGTGTAATGAGGTGTGTGTGTGTGTGTGTCCATGCGTGGGCTGATAAATATCTTTCGCCACTCGTATCCAGCGATATACATCCATGTACTCAACTACACCATTGCATACTTTATACGTGTGAATAACGCGTATTTCTGTGTATATATGTAAACAATACACTCACGTATGTAGTGTCCATGTGTTATATTTATTGTTCAGATACTTGCTCAGTTGCATTTGCCTATCCGCGCAATTACCACGTGTTTGTACACAAATACTCATTAAAACTAAGCATGTATTTACCCTTTTAGACGTGTCCATTTCAAGTTATGTATGTCAAAGTATCCGTGTGCTAACTTGATTAGACTTATTGAAGTATGCAGCATCGTTATTTGTGAGGATTAAAGGCCAATTGAGATTCGCCGTGTACGTTAGGTCTGCTATTTCTCTGTGGAAATATGAGTAGTCTGTGCGGACAGGTATATCTGTGTGTATACACATATGTGCATTCCATGCATTATGTCATTGTGTTCGTATGGGCATAGTTATCACGGCATCAACCGTGGGATTTGTTTAAAATCGGTGCACGGACACTTATCGTTGGAATAATTAACATCAAGCACGTGGATCTATTTAAATACATCGTGCTGTCAAAATAAATGTATCCTCTGTCCTGAGCGAACGAGCTACCGTCCTGATAATTGCGTACAGGTGTGTTTACCTTCATGATGAATAATCCCCGAATTAAATATTTACACAATATTACTGGAGATGTTGGACATCGTGAATTCGTTGTCAGTAGTCATAGAGCGTACATAAATACGTATTTTTTTCGTATTATTATACATATGTCTGTTTGTACTATACGCACAGTGTTTCCATATATGCAGTCAAGGTGAAAGACCAATTGCATCATTACCTGTTAAGATTATTTTAAAACGTATTCTTTGCACACGGACCAATACTAATCATAATAATTTGGTAATCACTGACGTTAGCCAAACGTTACGTTGCCTGCTGTAGAATGTGCGGTGGAGTAGTGATCACTTCCGTTGATTGGCCCGAGCCAGTGGGTCAACATTCCACATTCCCATGGCAAGCGAGTGTCCTCTTGATGTGACCACGTGACGACCACTGCTGATGTCCCACCCAGCGGGTCACACGCAGCTTCAACAGCTGACTGGGCGCTTTCCCTGGAGGACTCGACCGATGACGACGACGATGAGCTGGAATCCCGATTACTGTTCTAAGTGAGCGATTACTTTTAGCTTCTGTTGTGGAGTGAGTTACGCCGAGGGGCACCGCAACATTAGATCGTGCGTGTTGGTGGCGACTTATTTAGTTCGCCCGGCGCGCTAAGAATCTTAACGAGCTGAGCTCGATTCCTCCGGCCACGGCTAACGCTCATCGACCAGAGTGGTGAAGTATGGCCAAACAAACCCCTTGACCGCCACACGGCCTGGCGTGGCGGCCTTCGTCCACCGGTGGATTGACAGAGTTCCGGCAAAACACTCTTAACAATTACAACTTATATATAGCGCCTTGAACTCTCGAAGTGCTTCAACATCAATTAAGGTGTTGGGCTAAGAAGTGGATAATCATTATTCATATTATTTTAATAAATTATTTTGTACTTATAGCTGCGCTCGTAGCAACAAGTTTTAGAGTGTCCATTGCAGGTGAACGTGTCGTAAAATAATGAATCCGCATTGTAACTCGATAGGCGAGTTGGGGTTTAACCTCCAATTACCGGAATCCGTTTTTCGCGTGGACTTGAAAATGAATGCAGCGGAACGTTGTGGTGGTGGAAATTAATGTAGAGCAAGGCGTGCCGTTTTTAGTGCAACGTTGACGTTACGGTTTTCACTGCCTCTACGGAGCTGTGCATGGTAACTTAACAAAGTGCAATGTTCCAGCTAAGCGCACGTTAAATGCGCCGCTATTATCCGCAACAGGAAGCTATTGTTCGCAGGTGGCAAAGATGGAATTCCTAAGTTGAAGACTACCCGCCACAGAAATGTGGAATGTCCATCACTGGCAGCCAACAGAAATAAATACTGCACCGCGTTCGTTAAAGAACGGGCACAATTCAATTTAGAAATAATATACATTCTGACTCGAAATGACGCTACAAACAAGATGTATAATAATAATAATTTACAACTTTCCCACGCTTGAGTCGGTGGTAGTGGGGGCTGCTTAACCATACTTCACCAGGCTGGTGAATGCGGGTTGGTGAAAGGGGGTACCCTGCAGGAGCGGTTCGTGTCGCTCGCCAGTGATGTGAGCCGTGCCCGGGAATCGAACTCGGGAAAGCCGGCTTCACAGCGCCCTGCCCCCGTCACTGCGCGCTACGAATACAAAATAAAATCCGTGGCACATCAATGCTGCCAGATCACAATCATCATCATCATCAGCCATGATCTCCTCCACCCGAGCCGATTTAATCGCTCCATCTCCCTCCGAAACGCGTCCTTTTCTCAGACGCGTTCCCAGATCGCTTTGTGGCAAGAAGGCACGCACGGCACACACGCAACTCACGCCATCACAAGAGGCGTTCGTCGTGGCCGCACGGCATCGTCGTCGGCGACTACGACGACGATGTCGGCGTTCCTGTGCCGAGATCGCTTGCCCATCCACCCCCCCCCCCCCACACCCCTCCCTACGCTGCGTCGCATACCTCGGGAGCGCGCTCGCACCACCACGGACGCTCTCGGCGAGTCGGCGGTGCCAAGGGCTCGCGTTGTGCTCGCGGGGAGAGGCGCGGCGTGTCGGGGCACGCAGCGCCAAGGGGCTCCCTCGTGCGCGTGCGGGGCGCGCGTCCATCGCACACGCGCGCGCGCGCGCTTGTTTTTCTGCTTATTTGCGACGAGCGCTCTCCATGCGCTCTCGATTCTTTGTCGCGAAAGCCTTCGCTTACTCTGGCTTGCCAAGACAAGCGAGCCCTGCCGCTTGGGTATGCAGCAGCTATGTGCTGCTGTTGTCGTTGTTGTAGTGCCTGCTGGGGTCACGGACACTACATGTAGGCTGAGACTACATTCATTGTTCCTAGTCTGAGACTACATTCAGTTTGTGTGTGTGCGTGTTGCTTGTTTCAATTTGTGTATCGTTATTGCTGTATTATTACATCGCGGGATAGTGGAGAGGTGGCGGCGGCGTGGGGAAGCCTTCAACCAGCAGTGGATTGACCATGGATGATGATGATGATGAATGTAATGTACAGCGCCTTCATCAATTAAGTGCCAGATGAATGGTTCCCTCGTGCATTTCGGCAATTGTTTGACCATACTTCACCACGATGGCTAGTTCCGGGTTGGTGAAGCACTCCATCCCCCCATATCTAGTCTTGTGCAGGCTATTCAGGGTGTACGTCCACGTGTGAATGTAGTCATCACAAGATAGTAAATAGTACGTTCCTATAGGGTGTAGATAATGATAATCATGATGTTCGAGTGGCGATCCAGCCCATCGTCCATCCGGGGTTAATACAAAATAAGTACCACTTTGTGGGAAGTCAATAAGTGACTGTCTTGTGATTGATCGAGTAGCCTCGCCGTGGGAATGTGGAATTTCCACTGCTTTGCTTGGGGTTGACAATGAAGATGAAAGCGGCTAGGGTGCTTGTTTGAGTGGGCATATCAATGGTTGGCTGTTGTTATTATTTATACGTGCTTGTAATATTAAACAACGACAATGTGCTTATATGTCGGGACATTAATATATCCGATTTATATGAATCCAATAACATTACAAGTACTGTACTAGTGCATTTTTTAATGATTATACTGCTTTATAATGAAAATGATCATTCTCAGAAAAAAACATCAAATGTCAAAATCACCCACAGCTACATATTGAAATGTCACCCGGAACGCTTTTCAAATTAGATTGTGAATATCGATTATTACAATATATTTATACAGCATATAACTGTATACCTATGAATATATTTAATCACTATTAATATAAATTATAAACATATGACTCGTCGACGTAAAAAGATGTGCTGTACAGCTTTACTTAGACGTTTAATAAGGCACGTGCTTGTTTAAATGTATATGCTAGCTATATATGTCACCGTAAATATCCAAATGATGTGATTATTGGGCGATTAAATCCCAATCAAAGTTAACCTTTTAAGACATCACTTAACATATCCAAACTCAACATTGCCAGCACGGAAATTGTACGCTTTTTGCCCGAAGAGTGAAAATCCAATTCAATCGCTGACTATAGCCACACGATCGCGCCTCTCACACGTGGTTTCGTTTCACCTTCACAACAAGTACAGGTCAATGTTATGCGTGGGAGAGTAAAACCATCCATTCCAAGCCTCTGGCTTCTGTGCGTGCACTACCTCTGTGTGTGTGCCACTACTTCTGTGTGTGACACTACTTCTGTGTGTGCCACTACTTCTGTGTGTGCCACTATTTCTGTGTGTCACTACTTCTGTGTGTGTGCCGCTACTTCTGTGTGTGTCACTACTTCTGTGTGTGTGTCACTACTTCTGGGTGTGCCACTACTTCTGTGTGTGTGCCACTACTTCAGTGTGTGTCACTTCTGTGTGTGTGCCACTACTTCTGTGTGTGCCACTACTTCTGTGTGTTCCACTACTTCAGTGTGTGTGCCACTACTT